TTTGCTGTATGCCATGGGTTTTGGTATATTATGTTCCCATTTTCATTTGTTTCACAAAATTATTGGAATTCCTTTTTATAATAATTTCTTCATAGAATCATTTGGTGTTCAGGAGCATATTGTTTAATTTATGTCATTGTACAGTTTTCAGAGCTCTTCTTGTATCTGATTTCTAGTTTTATTCCATTGTGCTCTGAGAAGATACTTGGTACAATTTCAATTTTCTTAAATTTGTTGAGACTTGTTTTGTGGCCTTACATGTTGTCCATCCTGGAGAATGTTCCATGTGCTGATGAAAAGAATGTATATTCTATAGCTGTTGGATAAAATGCTATGTAGATGTCTGTCTGGTCCATTTGGTCTATAAGGTGGTTTAAGTCTGATGTTTCTTTGTTGATTTTCTGTCTACATCATCTGTCTAGCACTAGAAGTGGAATGTTGAAGCCAACTATCATGGTATTAGAGTCTTTCTCTCTTTACCTCTAATAATATTTGCTTTATATATCCGGGTTCCCTGATATCAGCTGCATACATATTCACAATTGTTATATCCTCTTGCTGAATTGATCTCAGGGGTGTTATTTTAAATAAGGTGGCATGGCCGGGGAAGGCCTCCCCAAAAAGATGTTGTTTAAGTAAACCCTGAATCTTTACTGAGTGAGGAGTGAGACATTTGAAGATGTTCCAGGCAGAGAGAACAGCAAGAGCAAAAGCCATGAGGTGGGAATGGGCATGGCAAGTTCTAGAAACAGGGAGGCAATTCTGGCCCCAGTGGAGTAAAGGAGGGAGAGGATGTAGGAAAAGGTCAGGCAATGGAGGCCAGGTTAGGGAGAGCTTGGTGGGTCATTGAAGGGACCTTGGCTTTGACTCAGAGTAAGATAGGAGCTATTGAAAGTTCTGAGCAGAGGAGGGACAAGATCTGAGGTTTTTTTAATGGCACATATATGTATATATGCTTTTTAAAATTTTTAACCATTCAAGGTCTTTAGCATATTCAGAGTACTATGCATCCATCACTACAATCAATTTCAGAACATTTTCATCAACCCAGAGAGAATCCTGTACCCATTAGCAGTCACCATCTCCAAGCCCCGACCCCTACCCAGCCATAGGCAGCCACCAGTTCACTTTCTGTCTCTATAGATTGGTCTGTTCCAGACTGACTTATGTTTTCAAAGGCCCTGTGGAGCTAGCCTGCAGGCGGGCAAGCCAGGTGCAGGAGCCCAGGGAGGAGGCTGCGGCCACCATTGGGGGAGGTCGAAGGGGCCTGACTGGGCTGGAGGCAATGGAGGAAGGAGAAGCTGCCGGGTGCTGGATAAATTCCAGAGTGGGGCTTCCTCAGGGATTGGATGTGGCTCTGAGAGAAAGACAGAAGTCAAGAATGACCCGAATTTTCTACGTGATCCAGTGGAAAGCTGAGTCACTATTAACCCAAGTGGGGAGGCAGTGTGAGGGCAGGTTTATGGGGAAAGTTCAGAGCTTAGATTTGAACGTGTCAAGTTCAAGGCACCTGTTAGACACCCGAGTGGGGCTGCGGGGTGAGCAGTTGGGTGTGGGGTTCAGGAAGGAAGTACTAGTGGGAGACGGATTTGGGAAGTGTCAGAATGTGAATATAGCTGCCCCTGAGGCTGGGAAGAGAACATGCTCCCCTCACTCCTAGGATCCAGGGAGCTAAGGACAACACTCACTCCCAGGAAAAGGGACCCTGGGTTTCCAGCTGGTGACAGGCATCTCGAGTGCCGCAGAGCCCATTCATTCTTCAGCAATACCTATTGTGCCTCTACTATGGCCGTGAGTAGGGTGATGGGCGGGGCGTGTACAACCATGAATAAAGCAGGCACAGTCTGCCCTACGTGCCCTGGGAGACAGACGATAGATAAACTGGAAATACATGTCAGGTAGTAGTAGGTGCTCTGGAGAAAAATACAGCTGGGGAAGGGCATAAAGGCAGGATAGTCATTCAGACTTGAGGTCTAGGAAGGCATCTCCAAGGAGGTGACATTTGAGCAGAAGTCCCAACCATGCAAGACATGGGACCATGCATGAATATCTAGAGAGGGGCACTGCTGGCCAGGGGAACGGCAAGGACAAAGGCCCAAAAGATGTCGGCTTGGGGACAAGCAGGCCAGAGGCATCGGGAATGTCTGAGCAGGGGAGAGAGGGACCGAGCAGTAGCCAGGGGCCCTGAAGGCCAAGTGAGACTCTGGGATTCTTCTCCATGCCACAGGAGGCTGGGTCAGGGTTGCAGCAGGTGAGTCTCTCAGTCTGACATTGGTGTTCAAAAGGCTCACTCAGGCCGCAGTTTGGAGGACAAACTGAGGGGGGACCATGAAGGCCCCCAAACAGGGCCCAGGCTAAAAGCAGAGGCAAGGGGCAGCTGACCTGCAGGAGGAAGCCCCAGGGCAGACCTGCAGGGCTATGAAAACGGACTTGGACTGAGACATGGTTCCAACACCCACTTCATGGCTCTCTGGCTGCAGGCCCCTGAGACAGTGGCCTCCCCTATCTGGGCCTCAGGTCTCCAGTGAGTGGAAGCAGATGATGTGATCACTAAGGTTCCCCCTCCCAGCACAGATGCTCTGCGGGCCATCTGTCCAAGCAGGGGGTTTCCTCTGCCCCGGGTAAGACTGCCAAGCAAAGGAGATTAGGACTGACACAAACCAAAGAGGCCCTCAGGATGGGGAACTAGGCAACACCACATCTCCCCACCCCCTGGACGGCAGCGCGGAGCTCCTCCAAGGCCCTCAGGGGCTATGGGGACCCATCATTCTCTCCCACCTGCTGCCCACTTGGCCCTGGTGCCAGAGATCGCTGGCGATCAGGGCCCTGTGTGGATGGAGACGTGGGAAAGCAGAAGTTAAAAGCTGAACAAGCCTGAGTCCAGATTTCTGCTTCTTCCACTGATCAAACTGTGTGACCTTGGGCAAGTGTCACTCCCTCTCTGAGGGCCTACTTTTCTCTCTTGGAAAATGAGGATCATATTACCTGTCTCATAACATTGTGAAAACTATAGGAACAAGGCTACAGAACACTAGGATCGGTGCCTGACATATAGTAGTTGCCACTAAACCAATTCCTTCCATGTCCTCTCCTGCACTAGGAGCCTCTGTCACCCCCTGCTTCAACACTCCAGTGGCTTCCCATCGCACCGAGATTAAAATTCACTCTTCCATTGCCACCGGAGGACAGAGCAGGCCCTGCCACCTCCCCGCTCCTCTCTTGCCTTCCCCACTCCCCGCGGCCCTGCATGGCCTTCCACATCTCTAGTCTTCTTTCAGTTCCTCAAACCAGCCCAGTTCTTTCCAACTGGCAGACTTCTGTATGTGCCCTGCCTGGCTCCACGTGGCTGACTTCTCGCCTTTCAGGTCTGCGTCCACGTCACCTTGTCTGAGAAGCCTTCCCTGCACACCTTCTCTGGTCTCTGTCTCCAGCCCTCCTTTGTCACTGTCATAACCCTGAGTTTAATTATTTTATTGGTCTGTCACTTGCTTTGACCACTGCCCCAAACTCGCTATAACGTCCACAGGAGTCGTGGGCACTGCTCTATTCCTGGCACCCAGACAGCCACTGGCACACAGTAGGTGCTAAGTAAGTGCTGCCCCCCCACCCCAAAGACACACACGTGCACCCTAGCAGTCACAAAAGGACCCGGGATCAATGGGCAAGTAAACTGGCTCGGGAAAATTAAAGTCAGCAGCTAAGAAATGAGGAGGCTGAAGACTAGAACGTTCATTAAAAGTCAAAGCATGGCCCTGATCCGCGCCTGAGCGCCAGCAGGCTCTCAAGGCCGCAGTGACTGGCCTCTTTGGAAGGTCAGTGGCTACTGCTGCAAGTTCCCTTTCAGGAGCCCCCCAACTTTCGTCCCTACAGCACGCTAAATGGCAGTGTTTTCAAAACCAATTGCTTGATTCATCGTCAAGCCCGACGCAAGCCTCCTCCCCTCAAACACGTTCATGCCCAAGGGCACTGGCACGCACACACGCGCACACACGTGCACACACGCGCACACACACGTGCACACGCCCAGAGCGCAGGGACCCCCACTGCGGTGCCGGACGCCATCACAGCGCCCTCCCCACCCAGCCGTGGTGTAAGAGGCTGGGACCTCTTTATGTCCTGTCTAGTAGGCTTCTTGGAACCTTCTCGAAAACCACTAAAGGCAAAAAGGAAAGATAAAAATAGAGCTGAGGAGGTTCCAAGGCCAAAACTAAAATAAAATTTTAAGAAAGCCATATTTTTAATATTACTTTCTTTAATTGAAGAGACAATGTAACATAACTTTTTAAAATATTTCAAAGCAAAAAATCCCCCTAATCCTACGCTGCTCCCTCTGCACACACAGTTGTTCCCAGCCGGGCGAGCCTGTCCAGCCTGGGTTGCCGGCAGCCTCCTTCCCTCCTGAGAGCTGCCGTGATCAGGAGCACACCTGCAACGAAAATCACATTTTAAAATGGAAATATTTTTTAGAAGAAAAACAAAGAGAAAAGTGGAAACCTTGCCTCGTCCCCTCTAAAGGGGCACTCGAGATGGCCCTGTTTTCATTTTTCATGTCTCTGAATGGTTGGTGAGGAGTCAGCGTGTAGGTGTGAGACCTCACACAGTGCTCAGTTTGGTGTGCGGCGTGTGCATTGTGTGTGTGTACACGTGGGTGCATTGTACGCATGTTGCGTTATATTGTATGTGTGTGTTGTGTTCTGTGTATGCCTTATGTGTATGTTGCATCTTGTGAGTGTTGTGTTATATGTGTCTTATGTGTTGTCTTATGTGTGTTGTGTTGCGTGTATGTGTTGTGCCATGTGCTGTGTTGTGTGTCAGTTGCCTGTGTTAGGTGTGTGTTATGCTATGTGTGTGTTCTGTGCTGTGTGTGTGTGGACTTGAGCTGCAGGGGGCACCACCAGCTCCCCGCCCTGGGGGAACCCCTGCCAGGCAGAGGCCCAGCCTAGCTCAGTCTCAAGTGCTGAGCTCCCCGCCTCGTGGCTTGCTCTTCCTACTGTGCCCAGGTGTCAGGAGGAGAGAGCCCAGCTGCAGGCACAGCTGGAGCAGAAGCAGCAGGAGGCTAAGAGGAGGGACGCCATGTACCAGGAGGAGCTTGGAGGCCAGCGGGACCTGGTCCAGGCCATGAAGAGGCGGGTCTTGGAACTGATTGCGTAAGGATGGGGACAGTGGGGTGGGGAGCAGAAGGGGGGATGGGAAGGGATGTAGAGGGCAGGGCGTGAAAATTCCATGCCACTAGCAACTCTCAAGCAGGCTTCTAGACCTTTTATATATTTTAACTCATCTGCTTCTTTTAGCTGACCCCTGCTGGCATCCCCAATTTTTACAGATGAGGAAACCGAGGGTCAAAGAGGCTGACTTGGTCCCCAAGGACACACAGCATACAAATTGCATAGGGGCCTACAGGATATCCAGCAGTCAGGGGCCTATCTCCCAGGAAAGGTCTTTCTCTAAAGCAATTTAGTTGATGTCCCAAATAAAAGACCAGTTTGTCCTGACATTTGAAAGTCTAATGTAGCAGGCAGCTCCCTGACCACTTCCCCCTAAAGGGAAGCCGCTAATCAACCATATTCTTCCACTACTCAGAGCTCCAATCAGCTTTTATTGCCTCTTTTTTAAACATGAAATGGCAACCCAGGATCCCCAGACATTTGAGGGAGTCTAAAACACAAAAGAGGTAGATTAAGATAAACAAAGAAACAAAAATATCTGTCTTCCATGAAATAAGATGCTGTGAAAAATAACTATCAAAAGATGAGAAACGTTCTTGGAAATTAAAAATATGATCACTGAATTTTTTTAATTCACTACAAGGGTTGGAAGAGGAAGATGAGGCAGTCTCTCAGGAAGTAGAATACAAAGCAGAGGTGGGAGTCATGAGAGAAAAAATTGGAGACAAAGAATTAGTCTAGGAGTTCCTCTCCAAGTGAAAGAAGTTCCATAGAAAGAAAATAAAATTGAGGAGCTTATCAGATAAAATATAACAAAGAAAGAAATGTCAGAGAATTTCCCAGCTCTTATGGACACTGATCTTCAGATATAAAGATTTCACTGAATGACCAGCACAAAAAATAAAAACCAAAACAATCAAAACCCAGACCTAGATACATCACTGTGAAACTTGAGTAAAGATAACGAGAATAGCCTAAAATTATCTGTAGAAAAAGACAGGTCATCTATAAAAGAAGCCAAATCCAACTCATGCCAAGAGTCCATGGTGCAATACTTTTTAAGTTCTGAGAAAAGCTGACTTTTGCCATAGAATTCCACATCCAAACCATGAATTAAGTGGGGAATGTGATGGGGTAAAGACATTTTCAGACAGGTTTCTGAAAATTCATCTCCCACACAACCTTTCTTAAGAAGTTAGTTGAGGATGTGCTCCAGAAAAACAGGGAAGTAACCCAAGAAAGGAGAAGATGTGGAATTCAGGAAACAATAGCTCTAGCCTAGGAGAGAAGAAAAGGGAATTCCTAAAATGACAAGTGGGCAGCAAGCCCCGGGGCAGGCAACCTAGATTGAAGCAGAAGTATTAATACCCAGGGCCAAGGAGGAAGGTCTCTGGGAGAAGGCGAATCACCAGAATGCCTAACACGACGAAGAATTTGGGGGAAAGTAATATATTAAAAGCAAGTAATGCAAGTAACAAATGAAGGACACTAGAAACCCCTAGAAAAACAAAAGCCTTCCAAGAAGGGAAATGTTTAGAATACATTTTGGCTCTCTGGGCAATGTATATATATATTATCTAATAATGTAAATACTATTCACTGGTTTTTTTTCAATGACAGAAGGCAATTGTAATTGCAGAACATGATGTTATCTCATAAACAATATTAAGTATAGTATGGAATCCAATAGAATGTTCTATGAAGATGGATATGTTCCATGAAGATGAAAATGTTCCACACTTGTGCTGTCCTGTGTGGTAGCTACTAGTCACATGTAGAGATGAAGCTGGTGTGACTGAGGAACTGAAGTTTCGTTTTCTTTAATTTCAATTAATTTAAGTTTAAAAAGCCACATGTGGCTAGTGGCTACCATGTTGGATGCTGTGGGAATAGATGCCAAGTTAGGAGGTGGAGGAAGGAGAGTTGAAGGGAAGGGATGCTGGCATCATTGCATTTCAGAATGGGAGTCAAGGTTACATTGGGCAAAGTGAACTTGAATGTCACCATCCTGACCTCTTGTGTGTGTTTCTCACTGTCTCTGCATTTGTCTCTCTCCGTCTCTGTCTTCTCTGTCTCTGTGTGTCTCTCTCCCTCTACATGGTTCTTTCTCCTTCTCCTTCTCCTTTCCCTGTCACCCTTGCCAACTCCCTGGCTTTCTTTCTCTCTCTGAGTGACTGTCTTTCTCTGTCCCTCTTGGAGTCCCTCTCCATTGCTGTCTCTCTGTCTTTCTGCCTCCCTGTCCTTGTTTGTCTGTCTCTCTGTCTCTTTTTGTCTCTCGGTGTGTCTGTGGGTGACTCCCTCGCCACTCTCTGTCTCTTCCTCTTGTCATCTCTGTGTTTCTGCTGCTGTCCCTCTGTGTCTCTCTGGGTCGATTCCATCTTTCTCCCTGCCCGTCTCTGTCTGTGTGTGTCTCGCCCTCCGTCCTCCCACCAGGGAGAAGGACCGCCAGTGGCAGAGGCTCCAGCATCTCTCCTCCGTGGCCGCTGGGTGCTGCGTGGGCTGCGGCAAGATCTTCGGCCGGCTGTCTCGGCGGTATCCATGCAGGTAATGAGGAGGGCCCAGAATCCCTGCTCTGGCACGTCCCGCTTTCCACCAGCTCACGGTCCCCTTCCCACCTAGGGACGGGGGGACACGGGAACTGGGGGTTCATGAGACGCCACTGAAAGCGGGCCACTCAGTTTACCGCGTCTGGCTTCCAACACTAACCAGAGTCACGAACAAGAACAGCGGAAGGGGGTCAGAGGAGGAGTGGGCTCTGCAGGGCGGACGGTGCTCCTCTTCAAGGAACAAACTGATGAACGGGCCCCTCGTCTGGGAAGAGAGGTCCCGCGCAGGAGAAGCTGCTCCCCGCCTTCCTCTGTGATCATGGGGGCAGGACAAGCAGCGGGAGAGGAAAGGGACCCCCGGGAGAAGCTGACATTTGAAGGTGGAGGCTCTGCGGGGGTCGGACATCAGGAGACCCTTCGGGAGAGGGGAGACCCCCTGACACAGACCAAGGGCCATTCTGCTGGGACATGAGAAACTGGCACCTGAGGGAGACATGAAGGTGCTGGAATTCCATGACCCCAGCTGCAGAGGCCTCTGTCTTCCTTGTCTCTGCTCCACAGGCTCTGCGGAGACCTGCTCTGCCACGCCTGCTCTGCGGGCTCCAAGAAGAGAGAGTGCTGCTGCCCACCCTGTGCCCAGGGAGTGGCTGCCCGGGTCACCTGACCACAGCAGCCCACCCCACCCAATCCACTCCTGCCCTCGGCTCTCCCCGGCCCTCTATTATGTCCAGTCCTGCCTTCTAGAAGCTGGCGGTCCAAAGCAAAGCCCTCGTGCAGGCAGACAGCAGTGTGCAGAGAGGGAAGAGCCAGACTGGCAGGCAGGAGACGGGTCCCAGCCCTGCGTCTACCCTGATGAGCCGGGTGACGTGGCACAGCCCTCGGCTCTCGAGGCTTTTTCTCTGTCTCTATCTTAACAAAGTCGGGCTCCATCCTCTCTAAAGTCCCTTTGAGGGACTTTGAGCACAGCACACACATGCTGTGAGCAAGACCCCGGCAGCTCCAGCCTCTCTCCTCTGCACCCCCTCACTCAGCTGCGGCTCCCACCCTTCCTGATACGTGAGGGACGAAGCCTGCTGGGTCTTGGGTTCTTCAGTAGCTTCCTGTCTGGAGTCTGCTTCAGAAGGCTGTATTTGTGTTGTTTTATTTTGGTGGTTTTTTTTTTTTTTTTCTTCTCTTTTGGAAACAGAGTCTTGTTCTGTCATCCCAGCTAGAGAGCAGTGGCGTCATCATAGCTCACTGCCAACTCAAATTCTTGGGCTCAAGAGATCCTCCTGCCTCCGTCTCCCGAGTAGCTGGGAATGTTACAGGCATAGGCCACCATGCTTGGCTGATTTTTCTATTTTTTTGTAGAGATGGGGTCTTCCTCTTTCTCAGGCTGGTCTCTAACTCCTGGCCTCAAATGATCCTCCCACTTCAGCATCCCAGAGGGCTAGGATTACAGGCATGAGTCACCTTGCGCCTGGGCTGTTTTGCTTTATTTTTAACAATATTATCGAGGGACTATTGACATAATAAACACCAATAAAGTATACAATTGGATGAGTTTAACTTAACATACACCCGTGAAACCCTCTCCATACTCACAATAATGAACATTCATCAGCCACAAAGTTTCCTCCTGCCCCTCCCTCCACACCCAGGCAACCACTGGTGTCTTTCCAGGAACCATCGACTAATATGCATTTTCTAGAATTTTATGTAAATGGAATCATATGGTATGCACTCGTTACTGCCCGCCTTCTTTCGCTCAGCATAATTATTTTGAGATTCACCCATGTTGTCATATTATATATGTCAACAATATATTTTATTTTATTTTATTTCATTTTATTTGAGACAGAGTCTCGCTATGTTGCCGGGCTAGAGTGCCATGGCATCAGCCTAGCTCACAGCAACCTCAAACTCCTGGGCTCAAGCGATCCTCCTGCCTCAGCCTCCCGGGTAGCTGGGACTACAGGCATGTGCCACCATGCCCGGCTAATTTTTTATATATATTTTTAGGTGTCCAGCTAATTTCTTTCTATTTTTAGTAGAGACAGAATATCGCTCTTACTCAGGCTGATCTCGAACTCCTCCACCTCGGCCTCCCAGAGTGCTAGGATTACAGGTGTGAGCCTCTGCGCCCAGCCAACAATATTTTATTATTGAGTAGAATTCCACTGTATGGTTATGCCAATTTCTTTTTATACATTCACCTGTTGTTGGGCATTTGGATTGTTTCCAGTTTGGGGCTATACACAAATAAGGTTCTTGTGACCATCTGTGAACAAACCTTTGTGTAGACATACACTTATGTCTCTTGGGTAAATATCTAGAGAGGAAATGGCTGGGTCTTGTGACAGCTACATGTTTAACGTGTAAGAAACTACTGACCTCTTTCCCAGAGAGGTTATATGTTGTACCTTCCCACCAGCAGTCTGGGAGAGTTCCGGTTGCTCCCAGGGTGTCTGGGTTTGGTGGGCAGGGCAGGAGGCACAGGGAGGGGACTTGGGCCTCTCTGTCCTCTCCTACCAACCACTGTGGGGACTTGTCCTAGGTTTTGAGTGCCTGGAGAGAGGGGCTGAGTTCAGGAGACTCTCTGTGCAGTGCTCTATCAGCCAGACTTTGATGAAAACAGTTTATGAGAACTACTACAGAGTACAGGGGGTGTAAGAGCATGTCCCCTCATCCATCCAAGAAGGGTTACACAAGTTGCATGTCATTCACTGGACACCTAATTGTGGTGCTTCTGAGAATACTATTTCAGAAGAAGTGTGCACTCCACTCTACTACAGACAATTAGCTGCTCTGCCCAGGCTCCAGGGCACGATTTGTGGCCCCAGACAGGCATTCACACTGTCCCCATCTGCTCTGCCAGAGCCCCTGCAGCGATTGGGCAACCCTGTGGCTCCAACCAGAGCCCGTGGACGGCCTCTTGGGGTCAAGGCCACACAGAGTTGCATCCCATTGCCTTTGCGTGGACGAAGAGTTTTGCAACAGCAGTTTCTGCCCTGGAGAGCTGGTGAGAATTTCTCCTTAGCAAATACAGTAACAAAGTTGAGGGAAGGAATGAGGGGCTCCAGGAGTAATCGGGGCAAAAGAGTCTCCCCTACCCTAAAGGACAGGAGTCCCTCCCTGGCGATCAGACCTACCCATGTACTTTAATGAGGGCAGGGTTCTCATTACAGCAGAAGAGCGCATATTCTATTCTAGCAGGAATTCCAGCATGGACTTCAGACTTTCCTGATGAACTGAGTGGGGAGGGCACAACAGAAGCCTATTTTCAAAGAGGAAGTAGGGTGCTCCTAGAAGAGCACTCATCGGAAGGGAATCCAGGGCCAGGAATGAGGGAGCTTGACTTCTTCCTGCTGTCCAGAGAAAGGATGGGCAATGCTGAGGACCAGCCTCTAGTTCAACATTGTCCCCAAAGAGTCCCCACCAAGTTCAATGAAGAGCAAAAACGCTCTACAAAGAAACCAGAAAAGTTAGATTTGGGGAACCGTCTAGCAGAGAGATCTGCAAAGGTCACCATAGACAATGCAGGGCCTGGCACTGCAAGGGCACCTGTCCTTCAGCAGTGACTCCAGGGCACCTGTCAGCAACAGCGGATCCCAGAGATGCACAGGGGAGACGTCCCCAACAGACTCCCCCCAAATTCCCAAGGAGCACTGTGCAGGGCTGAAGTCCTGCATGAGCAATGGGGTCTGAGCCAGTGCAACCTCGGTTGTTGCTACTGATGTGATTTCACTTGTGCTCACAGGCTGAGGGTGCCCTGGGAAATTGGGGCAACATAATTATTACTTTAAATTAAATGTCACTGGGATGCCCCAACATACATCAGTTTCTCCTACTTGTCAATTCATTCAGTGCTCGACAAAAACCTATTAAGTATCTTTGATATGATGAACACTGATGGGTTTGGGGCCATAGAGACAAACACACATATATGTTTATGTATATAAACAGGTGATCAAATTCACATTTTAGAAAGGTTGTTCTGGTGGCAGAGTGGAGGGGGGATTGAAGGGGGAAAGACTTGAGACAGAAATCATTTAGGAGAGGAGGAGGAGGAGGAGGGGTTGAGGAGGAAGAAGAGGAAGAAGAGACAGAGGAGGAGGAGGAGGAGGAGCAGCTAACAGTGCCAAGCCTCATTCTAAGTGCTTTATAAATACAGACTCCTTTAATCCACATAACAACCTTGTGCAGTAGGTGCTCCCATTATCTCCATTTTACAGATGAAGAAATTGAGACCCAGTGAGAGTAAATCACTTGCCCAAAGTCTGAGACGAGTAAATGGATCCTAACTCAGAAGCCCAGTTCCAGAACCCACAACTAATGCATGACTATATTATTGTCGTCGCGGCACAAGGGAATGAAGTGTTGCCTAATGCCGTGCAAGATGGGGGGGAGGAGACAGTCCGGAGCCGTGCTGAGGACAGCAAGAGCGAGGCCATGTGAGGGGTGGGCACCCCTCCAGCTTGGCAGAGGAGTGCACGAGGAAGCCCTCAGCAGGAGAAGGACATGCGTCAGGAAAGCAAAGAGATGGGCTTTCGACATGTTGAGTTTGCAGCACCTGTGGGCCCCGGGGGAGATGCAGCAGGTAACTGCATGTCAGATCTGGCTGGGAACAAGAGGTGTGGGAGACCTCGGTGCATGTTGGGGGACAGCTGATGCCACGGAAGCAGGTGGACTCCCCTGGGGAGAGCAGGTAGAGTGAGAAGAGCAGAGGACCAAGATAAAACCCTGAGGAACATTCATACTTGAGGAATGAATTGAGAAATAAAGCAACAAAGAGACCAAGAGAAATGGGGGGAAATAAGAAGAAAATGCATCAGCGGGATTCAATAAGGCAGAAATCAAGCAAGATGAGACCTGAATGGCAGCCGTTTCACGTGCATAAAGTTAAAAAGCATACAGCAGGCTGGGAGAAAATATTTTAACATCATTGACAAATATTTAAAAATGTAATACTCCCAAATTATATAAAGAGCTCCTACAAATCAATGACAAAATGACAATCCAATGCAAAAGGGAAACAGGTGAGAATTAGTAATTTACAAGAGAAAAATACAAATAGCTATAGTCAAAGATACTCACCCTGACCAGCAATCAAGAAAATACAAATTAAACAATGGGACATCATTTCCTAGTATCTGACTGGGAAAGAAATTGATCATATACAGTGTTTGTAGTGAACACACAGAGTAACAGGCCTTTCATAAACTCATGATAGGAAAGTAAATTGGCACAGTCTTTTTGAAGGGCAATTTAGTAGTATTTATGAAAATTTAGATACACACAGACATTACCCCCCCAAAATTACACTTAAGCTGCAGAAACACTCATACAAATTCCCAAATACCTATATCCAAAGATGTTCATACCTTCATCTCTAAGGTAATTATCAAATAAACCATGATACATCCACACCATGGACTATTACACAGTCACTGAAAAGAAGAAGATGGATCTGCATGTACTCATGTAGAAAAGGTCTGCCATGCATTGTTAGGGTGCAGGACAATATAACTAGTAAAAATAGCTTTTTTATTAAGGAAAGAAGGAAGGAAAGTGTGTTTGCATTTGCATGGGGAAGAGCCTTACCTTGGGGAAGGATCTGGGTGAAGACAGGAAAGGAAGGGAGACTTTCAAGTTTTACTTCACATGTTTTGCACTGCTTGCATTTTTTACAATATCTGTGCTTTGTTTAATATTAAACAAACATCTGTGCTTTGTCTAATATTAAAGCGGTTTTATTTAAGAAAAGTGCGTACTGGGTTTAGCAACCCAGAGGTCGTTGGGAACCTTGGTGCAGCCTCAGTGGCGCGTAGGAAGGAAGCCAGTTGCAGGGTCTTTGCTGAACAGCGCAGGGAGGTGAGGAAGTGGAGAGAGCAACCACTAACTCCCCTTTTAATAAGTTTGCCTGCAAAAGGAGAACACGGCAGAGTAGAGGCTGAAGGGTCTTAGGACAGAGAGGGAGGGTGATAACGACATAGCAAGGTCGGGCGGAGGGGAAAGAGCCCATTGAGGGACAGAGGAGACAGAAGGCAGGATCCTCTAGGACCAGAGAGGCAGCGGGTCGCACAGCCGGGTTGGGGGGGTGGGGGGGATGCACCGGAAACAGAAGGAGGGATGCTTCTCATCCTGACCCTGGAAGGAAGGAAGAAACTGTGCGTGCAAGTGCAGGCAAGTCTCTCGGCGGCAGGGGGCTAGGATGCCTGCTTCTTCCTTGTTAATAAAAGAGGTGCGGGTTCAAAACGCTGAGTCAGAAGGTGGACAGGCAAACCTCCACCTTCAGACTAGCAGGCTCCTCCAGAAGCCATTAGACAGAAAGGCGTGAAAACCCCAGAGCTCAAGCCCGAGTCATCAGGTGGGACCTCGGCTTGGGGTCAGAGTCGCAGGACAGACCTAGTTGTTCCTCCGAGGGGACACCTCCCCCTGGATTTCCCTCTCAGCCCGGGTAGAAGTTTCGACACGTCTGCTTCACTTTTTTCCTGCCGGAGAGCCCTGACCGCCACCAAGCCTTGGGTCACACACAGCGTGGACAGCAGCGGCCACTCTAATCACAGCAGCAGCTGTCGCAGCGACAGCAGGCAGGTGAGCTGTCCAGTCTGACAGGCTGGAGTCATATTCCTGATGGAAGGGATCTGGAAACTTCAGCCTCCTCTGAGGCTTCTGAGAACGGGGGTGATAAATTGCAGAGCCTTAGAGCTGAAGGCAACTACGTTTTCACCTAGATGGTGCTGTACAAAAGAACTCTCTGCAATGATGGAAATGTTCCAGATCTGACTGTCCGATATGGTAACCACTACTCACAGGTAGCTCATGAGCACTTGAAATGTGGCTGGTGCAACTGAAGAATTGAATTCTTATTTTATTTTTTTCAGCATATTATGGGGGTACAAATGTTAAGGTTGTGTATATTGCCCTTGCCCCCCTCCTCCCTTAGTTTATTTTAATTAATTTAAATGTAAATAGCTACTTGTGGCTAGTAGCTACCATTCTAAACAGGACAGACTTAGAACAATCTCCTCGTTTTCCAAAGGAGCACACCAAGGCCCAGAGAGAAATGGTTTGTTCAAGCTCACCCTGACCATCAACAGCAGACCCAGAATTGGAAGCTAGTTTTGATGTTTTTGTTTGTTTGTTTGTTATTTTTGTTGTCTCACTCTCTCACCCAGGCTAGAGTGCTGTGGCACCAGCCTAGCTCACAGGAACCTCAAACTCCTGGGCTCAAACGATCCTCTTGCCTCAGCCTCCCGAGTAGCTGGGATTACAGGCTTGCACAACCATGCCCAGCTAATTTTTCTATTTTTTTTTAGTAGAGATGGGGTCTCGATCTTCCTTAGGCTGGTCTCGAACTCCTGAGTTTAAGTGATCCTCTCTACTTGACCTCCCAGAGTGCTAGATTACAGGCATGAGCCACCCCACCCAGCCTGGAAGCCAGTTGTGTATTCCCTCCACCACACGCATGCATGCGATGGGTTCAGTGGAAATTAAATAAACGTAATAAACATCAAGGATTGGGCCCACTGGGAAATGTCAAACCTGGGTCCCCCTCTCTGCAGCCTTTGTCTCTGGCTGTCAGGGACAGACAGGTGCCTAACAGAGCTCTGAAACCTGAGGCTGAGATCCAGCTCCTTGTCATGGTGAACAGAAGGTAGAATTTTGAGAGCAGATTTTTCTAAAAGTTTTTAAACTTCTTAAAACTTAGTTCAGCTGTGTCACCGTAGGTAAGTTGCTTAACCTCTCAAGAGACCTCGTTTCCTCATCCAGAAAGTGCATACTTCATGAGGTCGATGTGAGGATTAATTGACACAAATTCCGAAAAGCACTTTGCCCAGAAACGAGAAGCTAGTAAGCCCTCAACACTGCAGCTGGTATGACGATTGCTATCCGGGTCGAAGTGAAGTAGGATGTACATCCAAGTCAGTCTTGAGAGCACACTGACTGCTTTCCCTCGACTGTGGGCGCAGTGGGAGATACAGCGTCATTGGGCGATAAACTATTCTAATAATAATGATCACAACAATAAAAGCTAGCATTGTGCTCTACGTGTATCCTAAGCACTTTACAGGTAATTCCTCATTTCGTCCTAACCACAAACCAGTGAGTTGGATTCTGTTATTGGCCCCATTTTACAGACGAGTAAACTGAAACTCAGAAAGGAAAAGTCCTTGCCTGGAGTTGCTCAACCAGCTCTGCTCTCACCTGCCTGTGTGTGTAATGACCCTCTGTCTGGTTTTAGCATCCACTGGCCAGGTGGCCTTGCATTCTTCCCCAACATGTGAAAGAGAGGTGACAAATACTGAGGAACAGTTGGACTCAAAGGTTCTGTCCTTGGGGTAGGGAGGCAGGTTAAGTGAGGCAGGTTTCCGAGTGCTCTCGGGCCCTGGGATGCCTCTAGCAAGAGATAGTGTAAGTGGTGGAGGAGACTGAGGCATTGATCACTGGGGTGGGGGCTTGGGAAGGAGCTGAATTAGTGTTTGTGGCTCTACCTCTATTAATCCTCTCATTTGTAATCAAGAGCAAATGTGACACTTTTAAGGTCACTCAATACTGTTTTTAAAAATGTGTTTGGACTTGGGTGGGATCTCCACTTTTTTCAAAAGTTTTTCTTGCTAAATTAGAGGGTCTTGGCTCCATGGGTGGTAGCTGCCACAGCGGTGGGGTCCTCACACCCAATGCCAAGTGTATAAGCCAAGAAAGAACAGCAAGGCCCTAAGATGGGCTTGTGCTCAGAGCAGATGGTCGGGGAGTGAGGTGGAAGACGAGAAAGGTAGGAATGGCTTGTGGGACAGGGAGGCTAGAGATGAGAGGCATTAGGACCAGGGAAGAAAGCCACCAGACCACCAGCAGCGTAAGCTCCAGGTCTTTTGTCGCAGTGAGCTGCTACCTCGCCACATGAAAGCCATTCAGGACCCTCAGTGCTGCGGAACAGTAGGGCAGGGAAGCCTGAGGCAGCTGCAGCATGGCGAGACTCAGGGTGGCCGAAGGTGCCAGGGGCTGTGAGGTCACAGCAAAGATGAGAGGAATCCGTGTGGCAATCCACTTCCTTAGGGCCTCAGTTTCTTCACCTGTAAAATGGAAAGACTGGCTAGAAAACCCCACAGGTCCCTTCCCAATATAAACTCTAGGAATCTATAAAATGAGTACGCATCCAAGAGCTGACCTGGGAATTAATTATTCAAAGCCATCAAAAGCATCCTGCACCCTCAGGAACTCCACCCCTGAATTGAGTAACCTAATCCACCACTCACTTCCTCCACTGTGTTCTCACCACCACTCCCTTCCATTGGTCACAGCTGCCCTCCTGAAGGTGTCGTGCAGGTGAAAAACCCAGCACCCTGGTAAGTCTTGGAACACTGACCCTTCCCACCACCTAGTCTGTGTCTGTTGTCTGTTCCCCTGGGCACCCAGCCTGCACTTATCCCAGGCAGCTGTCTCCACCCTCGGTGGGCCCCTCACCTCCACCCTCACCCCCAGTCTCTTCATTCTCTTGCTTTAGGCTTCCCTGTCCCCAAAGGGGGAGCCTCTGCCCCTCCTCCCCACGGCCTTCTGCAACAACCACTCAGGGCAGCTTCCCTTGGCCCTGTGGCCTCCCCAGACTCAGCCAGGCCCCCAGACTCAGACAGCCCCCAGACTCAGACAGTCCCCCAGACTCAGCCATGCCCCCAGACTCAGCCAGCCCCCAGACTCAGCCAGCCCCCAGACTCAGCCATGCCCCCAGGCTCAGACAGCCCCCAGACTCAGCCAGGCCCCCAGACTCAGCCAGGCCCACAGATTCAGACAGCCCCCCAGACTCACCCAGCTCCCCAGACTCAGACAGGCCCCAGATTCAGCCAGCCCCCCAGACTCAGCCAGGCCCCCAGACTCAGCCAGGCCCCAGACTCAGCCAGGCCCCAGATTCAGCCAGCCCCCCAGACTCAGCCAGGCCCCAGACTCAGATAGCCCCCCAGACTCAGCCAGGCCCCCAGACTCAGACAGGCCCCAGATTCAGCCAGCCCCCAGACTCAGCCAGGCCCCCAGACTCAGCCAGGCCCCAGACTCAGACAGCCCCCCAGACTCAGCCAGGCCCCCAGACTCAGCCAGGCCCCCAGACTCAGCCAGCCCCCCAGACTTAGCCAGCCCTCCTTGCTTGGGCTGGAATGGGGCCTGAAGAGGAGCCACACACTGTTGACTCCCCACTCCCTATGCTAAATGCAAATATTTGGGGATTGTATGTATAAAGAGAAGGGATACTGGGATTGTATTAAAGTGACTGTTTGAAATTGTTGTTGTTAAAAAGATTGCCTTAAATGTTTGGGATCTTGTAAATGCCCCTCTCTATATAGCATTTTCATGTAATAAGATAGAATTCATCCCACTCATGGAATTTCTGAGCTACCGTGAGTCACTCAGGGGCTGGCATTTTTCCCGCATCAAGGAAGCTCCCACTGGGTCTCATGACTGACTACATGGCTGGGTGGGCAGTAGGAGCCAGTTCAAAGGTGATCGGTTTATCCTTCCTGCAAGAGCCATTTCTTTCATCCTGGGCCTCAGGCAGCAAAAGAAAACACTGCACAGGGCTTCGAACATGAGTGCACTATATACAAGCTGACTTGATAGCTCAAGAACTTAGTTTAAAATTATGTTTAATATATGAAATGTGGCTTGTTTGGTTTTTGTTTTTGTTTTTTTTTAAGAAGTAGGGCTATGTGGGCATGGTGGCTCACTCCTGTAATCCTAGCATTCTGGGAGGCCGAGGCAGGGCAGATCGTTTAAGCTCAGGAGTTCGAGACCAGCCTGAGCAAGAGCGAGACCCCTGTCTCTACTAAAAATAGAAATAAATTAGCTGGACAACGTAAAATATATAGAAAAAATTAGCTAGGCATGGTGGCACGTGCCTGTAGTCCCAGCTACTCCGGAGGCTGAGGCAGGAGGATTGCCTGAGCCCAGGAGTTTGAGGTTGCTGTGAGCTAGGCTGATGCTACAGCACTCTAGCCTGGGCAACAGAGTGAGATTCTGTCTCAAAAAAAAAAAAAAAAAGAAGTAGGGCTATGGACTGAAAATAATACAAGTGGAGCCCTTTACAGCTAGTTGGAATCCTGACCACATATTGGCCCTGTAATCACAGACTGGCCGCTAAACAGGGCTGATCATGTCTATTTGTAATGAGCGAGGGAGATCATGTAGCTGTGAGGCACAGAGTGGACCTCAGATGTGTCATCTCCCTTCCCGTCTTAGTCTGTCCTCTCTGTAAATTGATACATTTTAAAAATGAGGCCAGGCACAGTGGCTCAAGCCTGTAATCCTAGCACTCTGGGAGGTCAAGGAAAGACGATGGCTTGAGCTCAGGAGTTTGAGACCAGCCTCAGCAAGAGCGAGAGCCCTGTCTCTACTAAAAATAGAAAAACTTAGCTGGATGTGGTGGCTGCTTGGGAGGCTGAGGCAGGAGGATTGCTTGGGCCCAGGAGTTTGAGGTTGCTGTGAGCTAGGCTGATGCCACGGCACTCACTCTAACCCGGGCAACAGAGTGAGACTCTGTCTCAAGAAAAGAAAAATGAACAAACATCAACAAGGAACATCCCTACGCCTGCCCCAAGGACTGGGGGTCATTGGTCTGTCCTCGTTCTCTATTGTTTCTCTACCTTCTGTCCTGACGGGCATGTTCTCCCTCTGGAACTTCCAGCTGCCCCCGGTGCCTGGGGGCGTGAGCTCACCCAGACACCTCCAGCCCAGCCAGCTAAGCAGGGGGTTATCCAGAATGAGGATTTTCCCGTGAAACATGCTCTGCCGCAGCCGCCTATGCTGATAAGGCAGTTTCCACGGCCGCCCCCACCGATGCTCGTATATGCCAGGTTCTGCTCTCTAAGGGCACAGGCTCTCTGCCCGCACGAGGCCCTGCATCTGCTCTCAAAGGTGGGTCTTCTCTCAGGTCATTTGTTCCTTAAGAGCATCGGCTCTCAGAGGTGGCCCACCCTTGATCTCATGACTTCACTGGACGTAAACCCCAGGCCTTTCTGAGCAAACTTGATCTTGAACTTGGGACTGCAGAGCCAGCGACTTCTTTCAGGTCTTACCAACCACACTGGCCAGGCTGGCTGTTCTACCTGGCTCTCACACTACCTCCCGGGCTCCTGGCCAGGCAGGGCCCCACCCTCATCACCATATCCCTCTAGGTTCACCGACTGATCTAATCTTCTCTACCTGTATTCTTGGCATGGTGGGAGAGTTATTTATCTGGCCCCAATCACTTTGGGGAGAAAGTAGTACCTTCTCAGGAAGGTGAAGGCTAAGAATTCTATCACTCTTGGAGGAAAGGGGCATTATTTTCCCAATTTCTCTTAATCCTATTCAGCTTTGTTCTTTGCTAGATATGATTGACAATAACAGAGACTGCCTTCTGCTAAAGAGAAAACCTTCATTGGGCTTTTGTTGTTGTTTTAATATTTGTATTTGCTTTGCAAGGCTGTGCATCCTTTGGTTAATCTTTTTTTTTTAATTACGACATAAGTGCCACACCACAAAAGCTACTCATTGAAAGTGTGTAATTCAGTGGGGTTTTTTTTGTTTTGTTTTGTTTTTGAGACAGAGTCTTGCTTTGTTGTCCATGCTAGAGTGAGTGCCGAATGCCGTGGCGTCAGCCTAGCTCACAGCAACCTCAAACTCCTACACTCAAGCAATCCTGCTGCCTCAGCCTCCCGAGTAGCTGGGACTACAGACATGCGCCACTATGCCCGGCTAATTTTTTCTATATATATTAGTTGGCCAATTAATTTCTTTCTATTTATAGTAGAGACAGGGTCTCGCCCTTGCTCAGGCTGGTTTCGAACTCCTGACCTCGAGCAATCTGCCCGCCTCGGCCTCCCAGAGTGCTAGGATTACAGGCGTGAGCCACCGTGCCCGGCCTTCAGTGGGTTTTAGTATACTGTACAACCATAGCCACTAATTCCAGAACACTTTCATCAACTCAAAGAGAAACCCTGGGCTTATTAACCTTCCTCCCTCTCTCCAGCCCCTGGTAACCACTAACCTACTTTCTGTCTCTACCAATTTACCTATTCTGGTCATTTCACATACATGGAACCATGTAGGATGAAGGCTATTGTGTCCAGCTTTTTCACTTAGAATAACGTTTTCAAGGCCCACCCATGTGATATTGTGTATCAGTACCTCATTCTTTCTTAGGGCTGAATAATATTCCATTCTATGTAAACACAGTCATGTGTTGCTTAACAATGGGGATGCATCCAATAAATGTGTCGTTAAGCAATGTTCTTGTTGTGCAAGCATCGTAGAACATACTTAGAACCTAGATGGATAGCCTACCACACACCTAGGCTGTACGGTATGGCCTATTGCTCCTAGGCAACAAACCTGAACAGCATGTTGCTGTCCTGAATACCGCAGGCAACTGTAACATGATGGTAAGTATTCATGTATCTAAACATATCTACTCGTATAAAAGGTAAACAGTGAGATAGTGTTGTGCTGGCATAGGACAAGGCAAATGGATCAGTGTCACAGAAGACTTCAAAAAGGATTCTGTATCAAGGGGAATTCAGTATACGATAAAGTAGCATTTAAAAGTAGTAGGACAGGGCCGGGCGTGGTGGCTCACGCCTGTAATCCTAGCACTTTGGGAGGCCGAGGCGGCCAGGCGGGCGGATTACTCAAAGGTCAGGAGTTCAAACCAGCCTGAGCAAGACCCATCCTACCAAAAATAGAAATAAATTATTGACCAAATAAAAATAATATACAAAAAATTAGCCGGGCATGGTGCGCGCATGCTGTAGTCCCAGCTACTCGGGAGGCTGAGGCAGTAGGATCGCTGAGCCCTGGAGATTGAGGTTGCTGTGAGCCAGGCTGACGCCAGGCACTCACTCTAGCCTGGGCAACAAAGTGAGACTCTGTCTCAAAAAAAAAAAAAAAAAAGTAGTAGGACAACTTTCAGTATAAGATGAATAAATTCTGGGGATCTAAAATAAAAATAAAAATAAAGGTAGAAGTAAAAATACAGCATTATAATCTATAAGACCACTGTCATATATTCAGTCTATCATTGACCAAAACCTCATTATGCTGCACATGACT